AGAGCTCTGCCGGGGCGGCACGCGAGGCGGGCAGCACCGGGTGCCCGCAGCCCGGGGAGGCTAGCTGGGGGCGGAGCCGGGCTCTGTCGAGTTGCTTTGAAGGAAGAAGGCGGAGAGCTGGCTCAGCGCCCTGTAACGGTGGGAGATGGAGTTCTTCACGGCCTTGGGCAGCTCGGCGTAGCTGGAGGGGAGAGAAACGGCAAGCCTCAGCAGCAGAGAGCTACAGCGCGTGTGTCCCCAGCCACCGAGAGCTCCCCCTCTGCCCGCCATCTCCCTGCTCGACTGCCGCGGGGCGTCTGTAGCGACACGCCGGCAAAGCCAACAACCCCGTCCCGACCCAGGGGTTCCCCGTGACCCACCACGTTCAGATCCAGGAGGGTGTTTTCTCCCTGCCACCCTGGCTCATAAGGGTGAGGTTCCTCTCCACGCACAACCTCGACCCTGGCTTTCCTTACGTAAAGAGCTGTAGGTAAACCACCACTTACGTCTGGTTGTAGCCGTCCGGCTGAAAGCAGGGATCCCAGCCAAAATCTCGAGGGCCTCTGGGCTCCACTATCAGCCCCTGCCACGAGAATGCAAAGAAGCCCAGTAAGCTGTGGTTTTGCAGTACTTTCCTCGCAGTTGCATTTCAAACGCAGGCTGAGGAGTTACACGCAGCCATAGCTCAGGCGGTGGTCACCAAAGGCTCAGTACGTGGTGCTGTCCTTGTTCCCAGGACGTAAACAAAATTAGCGGTCCCAAACTCGGTGCTCCATCACGCTGCCCTATGCTGACAGCCCCTTTACACCCCCAATTAACTGAGCTAACAACTGCACTCAAATACAACCTTGCCAGAGGGAGATGAGGGGCGTGAAGAGCCTGAGGTAACGTGCAAACTGTTCGGTACGTACAGCTGGGCGAAAGGGCTGCGGCATTCAGCACCCACCAGCTGCGCTCTCCCTCAGCCTGTTAGCAACAAGCTCCAAGGGGGTTCAGTGACCCAGGAGCCACTAAAATTATCCCCAACAGAGCCAATGCTGTTACGAAATTCACATTACAGCCCTCCTCCCTCAGCATGTTCCCTTCCCCAGGCGCAACACCTACATGAGTTTGGCCTTTGAACAGCTTCACTGGCTCCTCTGGGTTTCCAGTACTGAATGCAAAGGTACAGAGAGCGTAGGCAGATTTGTCTTCAAAGCCAGCCAGCAGCTTGTACAGGCCTGAGCGACACAGAAAGGATCCCGGCATTACTGCCTTTCCCTCGGAGCGCAACGCACCCACCTAGAGACCAATCGAGGGAGCATTCTGTGTTCACATCCACAAGGGAGAGGAAGAACTACAGGGGGTGACAAAGCTCAGGCACAAGGATGCTCTTGGCTGGGTCCCTCGTATGACTGAAGCCAGCACCTCAGATCTAACACAGCGTGAGCTGCAGGACCCTGCTATTAATTTGGGAGCGGAAGCAAACAAGTGCATGGCACCACAGAGAACTAAAGCCCACTCTGAATTAGCACGATTAACGCTCGTGCTTGTGACACCAGTGCAGGATTTGCAGTCACTCTTAACTGCGGGATCAAAAGCAGTCACTGCACGCCAGGGGAGGTGAGCACTAGTGGAGAGGGGCTTGCACAGGAGCCAAAGGGAGCAGCAGGTCTTCCTTGATGACAAACAAGATGTTCCCACAAGCCCTGCCACCAGCCTGCAGAGGCAGGAGTCTGGGAATCCACAGATGATGCCGAAGCTACTGGGGGAAACAACATCCCGTGAAGAAGGGCACAGAGCAGGCTCAAGGAGAGAATGCGAGGGAGAGAGCTGGACAGACAGGAAAGGAACCAGCTGTGAAACGGGCAGTGCAGTGGGCAAGCACTGTCAGCAGAACGCAGCACGGGCAGGGATCCATTTCATTTGGAAAGGACTGAGTTACATGCAGAGCAGTAACATGGGAGGCAGTACCTTCTGGTTTGAGTTTTTCCAGGAACCATTTTCTGAAGGAGAAGAAGGGAGGAAAGATTAATTTTTGCTATTATTTCTCAGAAAGACAAGCATCCTTGAGACATGGTTTCATTGAGGCATTTTCACAGCCCTTTGATTCCCTCTTAAATGTGCTGTCAAATCGCCTCGTTCTGGAACTCTTTATCAATAATGACAGACTTAGCTCTTAAACTGAATGAGACGCAGTGAAAACAGCAGCAGGATATTTAATTTACGGCAGTACTGGGTTCTATGTAAATAACCCAGTTCTCACTCGTGAGCACTAACATGCCAAAATATATTTCTCAGCTCAACTTGTTCACATCTTACACCTAGTTCTAGTACCAACTTCACCATATAAAGCTTTTACGTCTCTGCTTAGCTCAGCAGAGATAGTTTGGAAGAATTAATCACGCTAAAAGTTAATTCCAGGAGCTAAGGCAGTATTTTATTAGAGGAGTTAGACTGTAATGTAATAATCTTGTTATCTGCTGGATTAAAGCAGTCCCTATGAGGACCTATTGCTGAAACGCATGGTGCCTTAACTACACAGAGGCCGCTGTGGGGCCACGTTCCCAAGCTGACTGCAAGAGCAGGCACCGTAGATTGGGAGCCAGAGCCAACAATTCGAGTCTGTCTCTCTTGTCCTGCACCGTGACTTACAGCAAGGCTCAAGGAGTTGAAGTCCAGCGTCTGGGGTGCAGGATGAAGCTGAGGACACAGACCAGTAATCACCTCCCTGAGCCTATTGCTCCTGGTGTGTGGAGAATCTCCTGTGAAGCACACCCTGCCAGCCTGCGCTCCAAAGTCTAGGACGTGAAAGGTGAAGCAAGTGCCCTCCTACTTACATGTACGGTCCTGGAAGCCCGCCCAGGGCATTGAAGCACAAGCAGGTATCCTCTACTATAACAGGTCCCCGAACCTACAGTGAAAGCCCAAGAGATGGAAACATTAGACCTAGAGGAAGGCACTGCCTCCAACCCCATTTTCTTGCTCTATCCTATTCTCACATTTCCATGATAACATGGACATCAGAAAAATCCACCAGCCACTAAAGGTCTTTGCCTCGGAGGAAATCCATACCAAACAGACACAACTGAAACCCATGCTCTCCCCAGGCAGGCCGGAGTGGCTGAAGTGTGGTAGGGAAGATCTCACATGGAGAAAAACAAGCAGAGCTGAACACCCCCTACCCCCTTGGGGGGCAGGAATGGTGGGACAAGGAAGGGGAAAGCCTGTGTCCTGGAGGCAGGCCTGCATTCTCCTCGAGTCTCAGTCCTCACTTGATTCTTTTAAAACACTCATCCCAGTGACAGCTCTGGAAGGTGATCCATCAGAAGCTCTAGCTGACAGAAAACGCAGTGTCCCACAACCGCTGGGGCTGGACTGAAGGAGCTTCGTGTCCTCCTGCTGCTTGAGGGACACAAGAGGCCAGAGGAGCGGCAGTGAGACTGCCTAAACACTGTGTCACCAGTGAGAATTCACCATCACCCAGCGTAGGCCAGCAACAGCCGGGTGACGGGAGTGCAGCGAGGCCAGGCCAGGCCGGGACCTGTCCCTGACTTTCCTCTGGGCCGGGCCAGAAGCCCATCTGCCTCCCGCCCCGCCGGGGCTGGGGTCCCCCGGAGCTCCCGCACCCACACCGCCGCTCCGACCGGCGGGAAAGGGGAAGGAGAAAGGCGGCGACCTGCCGGGCGGCTTCACGGCACTTCTGCACGGAGATCTCGTCCGGCTCCCCCTGGTACTCCGGCACTGGGGAGACAAAGCCCGGCGCTGAGGAGACGGCCGGGCCGGGCCGGGCCGCGCCGCCGCGTCCCCCCGGGCCCCGCCGCCAACTTACGGTCGAGGCT